ATGTACAATTTTGATTTATAGAAAATAATAAATAATAACATTGTGAGAAAAAAGGAAAAAATTAAAAATGATATGAAAAATTAATAATTACCTTAATTCTACATTTTTTGATTTTTTATTATGAAAAAAGAATTAAAACGAATATTAAAACCTAATTAACTAAATGAGTCACATTTTAATTTATTAAAAAAAGAATCAAAATTAATTATATTGTTTTTTGTCTTTTCTGTATTTTTAATGTTTTTATATTTTTTGATTAAAATTAATTAAATCAGAAAGTAAAAAAAAGGTAAATAATAGAATATGAAGAAAATTAAAAAAGGAAAGAAAAATAGAACCAGGAGGGTATGGATTTGAGTTTGGAGGTGCAAGCCTGGCCCAATTATTTGTGAGATTTTGTTGACTTTTGGATCACATGCACGCCTGTTGACTTGGTATATGGTGCACCTTGAATCTATGCCTTTGGTTTGAGTTAATGGGACGCGTGTACGCTTGAGATGGTGAGCGTATGGTGTACCTTGACATTAACGTTGCATGGAATTAATTGATGAAAAATAACATGGAATATGTGAAAGACCTGGGGTTCGAACCCAGGTCTTATGGATTGTCCTTGCATGTGCCTGCCATCTGCGCCACTTGACATATTTGTTAATTAAATATACAAGGAATAACATAACGTAAAACAACGCGTCAATGGTTTAAAAGCGCGAAAATTCAAATTCATCCAACCAGGGTACGCCACGATGCCATCTTCTTCCTCATGTTTTCCTGAAACAAATTTATCAAACACTTAACGGGGGTTTTGAACCCCCTCAGAATATGCCCACTCCATTAATAGCGATTAGAACCCTGGCCTTCATAAATTGTTCGCGAAGGTACAGGTCTCTTCGTCTTGAGGCGCTGAGTTCAATGGTGGCACTGAGGATGTCCAATTTTTCCTCTAATGAGAACCCCTAATTCACAGGCCTGCAAAACCCTAGAAACGGCGCATGGTATAATCGAATATAGCCAATAAAAACACAATTAAAGAGGCTGGTTAGCTTAGAAATAGCAATATGAACATGAATCAACAAAGAAAAACGCAAATGGATGATGGAAACATGCTGTACGATTTCAAAAGTTTCAAGGTTCAGTTTTGATTCTAACTACCAGTTCTTGAGGTTTTAGTGGATGTCAATGATTGGCACGCGTTCAGAATGATCTCAGAATGCTAATGGTATAAAAATTTTGGCTTGAAAAGATCCCTAGCTATGATTTCAGTTTTGCTTTTTATGTCCAAATTTTCAAATTGCCAAATGGACTTTCAGCGTGCTTTGTGCTATGTTCTTGGTAGGGTTTGACTCAATGATCCTTATGGAATTGAATAGGCATGCTAACTCCCCTTAATCCATGCTTGAGAAAGAATTGGCATTAGGGTTTGTTCATTAACCATTTTTTCCTAAATTCTAGCCAAAACCTAGACTTAGTATGAAAATGAACCTTGGCCTGATTTTTGAGTTGGTTCATGATGTATAGAACTTGTCCAAATTCATTTGACACCATTACATTGACTTTTAAATTTTATTTGAATTTTTAATGAATTAAAATGAATTAAATCATCCAAAATTAAATAAAAATGAAAAAGTCAACATTTGGTCTTGAAATCAACCATGGGCCACGTGTGTGGCATGACAAGGATGGACAAAGTGAGAAAAATGGGGCCCTTTTGTCAAAATTGGATTTTCAAAGATAATTGACTTTTGCCATTTCACAAAAATTTCCCAACTTCTACAAGGCATAACTTGCTCAATTTTTAAGCTTTTCACATGTTCTTGGACATTTTGGAAAGGTCTTTGAGTCCTTTAACCAATGTCTTTGGTCCCATGTCATTTTGATTTACCAATCTCAAGTTATGGTCTTTGACTTAAAGTCCCTTTTTGTTGACTTTTGAAAATGACCTGTAATGTTGAGATTGATAACTTTTTGTGAGAGCATTTCTTGGACTTGGAACATAAAGATGAATTGTAGGAAATATCTTTCTCTTCAAAATGAGCTTTGGATGGAATTTTTCTGATAATCCATGTGAAAGTTATGCCCTGGTCAATTTCAGTTGACTTTTTCAGCTGTCCAAATATAGCAACTTTTGCATCTTTGATGATTTCTGAGCCAAATTTTGAGAATCATGATCAAGCATTGATCAAATGATGTTTGTGGCTTCAAAATGATATATTGACCAAAAATTTGAACTTTTGACTGCCAAATGACCATTTTGCCCCTACAGTTGCCTGTAGTGCAATTTAGGGTTTTGACTGTGCAATCTTGAGCTGAATGCCTTGAAACTTGATATGAGGATGCTTGACCATGTTTGTAAGCATATGAGACTTGATTGAGCCTTTGAAAACTTCCTTTTCTTGATCAGACTTGAAACCCTAATTTTGACTGTATGGGAGACTGTTGCACTGCACAACCCTTGGGGAATTTTGTGACCTTGACTTGACAAATTTTGGAGAATATGGGAGGGCAAATTTTGGGGTATAACAGTAGCCTTCGATATCTCACATGCACAAGACCAGACATTTCACTAAGTGTTGGCATAGTGAGTCGATTCATGGAGGAACCAGTACACACACATTGGAAGGCGCTGAAACGAATTCTAAGATACATCCAAGGAACAGTATCACTAGGAATGTTTTATTCAAAAACAGAAGACTACAAGTTAGTTGGTTATTCTGACAGTGACTGGTGCGGAACAACTGAAAGAGCACCTCTGGATATGTGTTTTTCATGGGAAACACAGCATTTACTTGGCTGTCGAAGAAGCAACCTATAGTAACACTTTCGACGTGTGAAGCTGAATATGTGGCAGCATCCTGGTGCGTCTGTCATGCAGTATGGCTCAGAAGGTTGATAAGCAAGATGGAGCTGAAACAGGAAGATCCAACAATAATACAAGTGGACAATAAACCAGTTCTCGAATTGGAAAAGAATCCAGTGAATCATGAACGAAGCAAACATATTGATGTTCGATTTCACTTCATTCGTGAACATGTGAAGGAGGGAAGTGTCGAATTGAGGCATGTAGCAAGCAGAAACCAAGCAGCGAATATTTTTACAAAACCACTATCAAAAGAGGTCTTCGACAGAGGCAAGAAGATGGTAGGAATGCTGGATGGAAGAAACATTTAAGTTTACAGAGGAGTTTTGTTGAATAAACATTAAATGTGTTAGTAATAAAGTTTTACATTAAACATGGTAGTAGGAAGGACAAAAGTTTTAGTAAGTTATTAGTAGCAGTTATGTTTTAGTTTATGTTTTAGAATTGTAAAAGTTATTTGGGTCTATAAAAGACCAAGAGTGTATTTTATTTTATAAGAGCAATATAGAAGTATTCATATAGAAGCCTGATCATTTTATAACAGGTTCCCCCTTCCAAATCTTTGTTACTCTGGCGTCTGATTTTTGGTAAGATCCCAACGGATGACAAACTTATTTCTAGGGGTTGGATGTTCCATCGCAGTGCAACCTTTGTTTTGCTAATTTGGAATCCCTGTCTCATTTGTTCTTCGATTTCGCTTACGCCAAAAACCTTTGGGGTTGGGTTAGTAATTTGCTTGACTTGGATTCTCCGGTGTCGTCGCTTGTGGAATGCTTGAGTCTTATTGACAGTAGGCACTCCGTGCAATGCAAAGTTGTCATCCTTGTTGCAATCACAAATACTCTCTCGTATATTTGGAAACGCTCGCAATGGTGTGCGTTTTCAAAGCATTTCCTCTCCCTGGTATTCTGGCTACGTCTTCATCCTCTCGTTCATAACTTTAGCAGGTAACCTTACCACTAAATGTTCGAAGAATAATATTCGGGACTTCGTTATTATGAAGAATTTTGACGTCACTATTCACCCCCTAAGGTGCGGTTTTGTAAGGAGGTGTTGTGGTGTCCCCCTCCTTTATTTTGGGTTAAATTCAACACGGATGGTGCTTCGGTAGGTATCCCGCCAGTGGCAGCTTGTGGAGGTATTTTTCGAGATCATAACGGTAATCATTTGGACAATTTTGCTATTTTTTGGGTTCAGAAATGCCCTGTTTGCGGAGCTCATGGGAGCAATTCTTGTCATGGAATACGTTTTAGTCGAAATTGAATCAACTTGTGGTTGAAGTCGGACTCCAAGAGAGTGATTCTTGCGTTTACAAACGCTTCTGTTGTGCCTTAGAAGCTCAGAAACATATGGGATTTGTGTATTCAAGCGCTTACTAATTTTAACTTCATGACAACTCACATCTTCAGAGAAGGTGACCATTGTACCGATAAGTTCGCTAATTTTAACTTATTAGTCACTAACAATATTTACTGACATAATTTACACTCTAATATAATTAATAATTTTGATAGAAACAAGTTAGGTGTTCCTAACTTTCGCATTGGCTAAAGATTGAGGTTTTGATTTAATCCCTTCATTTTTGTATACCTATTTTTCTTTCAATATATCATGGCCTTTGCCCTCTTCTGATTAAAAAAAAAAAGTTGACGGATATTATAGATCAAGTATAATTTTTTATGTGATGGAGTAGTTGAATAAAAGAAGACAAAACAAAAGATCTAGAAAAACATCATTTTACTACCACGTCATATAAACTCCCAATACAAGTTCCATACACGGAATGAATGAAAAAGCAAGAAACTAAACAAAGATGCTTCGGCGGCGGCTATTAATCACATATTTTCAATTCATCCACACACAAACTTTGAATTGAATATTTCACTTTTTCATATTTGGTGCCTGCATAATTCAAACACCAAAACTTACCCTTAAAAAAATAATAAAAATATTTTAATATTTTTACTTCATCCCTTGCATAAGTCAACAATAGCAACCTTCAAAACACTTCAACTTTTCAACAACTATTTCTATATATAAACAAACACAAAACCAAACCAAAAGAAGAAGAAAGAAACACAAACAAATCAAACATTTTCATACAAAACATTTCTCATTTCATTAGCAACACCAACAAAAAAAAAACATGACGGATCATCAAAAAATCCATCCATTTCATGATGTTGATCTTGAAGCGCCACAACAACAACAACCTTCAGCTCCTTTAGTAACAAGAAACATGTCAAAATCCGATGATGTTCAACATCATCAACAACAACAACCTCTTCCTACACAACAACCTAGTATTCCTATGAATCATTATCCAAAACCACCAAAGAAAAGAAGAAGCTGTTGCTGCAGACTCTTCTGTTGGCTATTCAGCATCCTATTGATTCTAATCATCGCAATCGCCATAGCAATAGGAGTCCTCTTCCTGGCTTTCCGCCCCAAAATCCCGAAATACTCCGTGGATGAACTCCACGTCACGCAGTTCGATCTCTCAGGCAACAACAGCTTATCAGTAACTTTCAACCTCTCAATCACTGCAAGAAATCCAAACAAAAGAATCGGAATTGATTATCGAGGTGGAAGTCACATAAGTGCTTGGTACGCAGACACAAAACTATGTGAAGGTTCATTACCTAAATTTTACCAAGGTCATAAAAATGTTACTGTTCTTAGTATACCTTTGTCTGGAGAGACACAGAATGCAACAGGTTTGAGAGATTCTTTACAGCAACAGATTCAAGATGAGGGAAGTATCCCTCTTAATTTGAAGGTGAAACAGCCTGTGAGGATTAAGTTTGGAAAGTTGAAGATTTTTAAGATTAATTTCAGGGTTAGGTGTAGGATTGTGGTGGATAATCTTAATGCTAATAATTCTATTAGAATTAGAAGTAGTAGTTGTAAGTTTAGGTTTAAGCTTTGAATTCTTTAGTGCATATATAGATATACTATATAGTATAATATTATGCCTATTGATATTTATTTTTAAATTTCTTTTATTATGCTTTTTTTATTTTAGATATCTCATTTGATGGATTTTTCTTTCCATTAGCTTTTTGAGATTGAGTTACATTTCTTGTAATTTTGATTATTCACGTGTTATGTATATCATACATATAGTTGTTCTATATATATATTTAATAAAAAAATTCTTTTTGCTGAGTTTTTCACTATATCTTCACTCTCAGATGTGATTGCTAACAGAGTTTTGGATAATTTTTTGTGTGATGATATGAAAATGTTGCAGAAAGTTTGCTGTGTTATACTCAACTTTAGGAGAACAATAAGTGTATTTATATTAAGAATAGATGATAAAGCTGATTTTCTTATAAGCAAATTTTATTTTGCAGTGTTGATTAAGGAAGGTGAAAATGATATTATAATATAGGAATATTTACAATTAAGTCAATATAGAAATAGAAGACATGCAAGTATTTATTATCAATATTTATTGTAGATGTAGTTGATTTGATTGTTCATTTCTTATTTATTTCTTTAATGAAAACTAGTAACAAATTCGTGCTATCGCACGGGTCTCATCTGGATTCACATTACATTTATAGATTATTAAATTATTAAGTATGTTACCATGTTTTCAGTTGAGTATATGTCTCATGTAAACCATGTTGGCATTTAACTCCATATTTGTAGCAAGCGTCGGTCCTATCAACAAATCACGTCTGCATGAACAAATAGGAAAAATTATATACTTCTTGAAATACATGGAAAATGTACATACTATATATTTTAATTCAAAATAGATTTTTAATTTGAATCGTAAAGTATAAGATATAAAGTTTACCAACTATCAAAGTGCTTGAAAGACTTCCTTGTACACAACATTAGTAGTAGTAGAACACGGTACATTCTCCTTGTCATGAATTAGGATTTTTAGCCCACTTTTGCTCTTAACTCTTGAAATTGCAACATATAATTGACCATGACTAAACACAGGAGTAGGCAAATACAATCCAACACTATCAAGAGATTGACCTTGTGACTTATTAATTGTCATTGCATAGGAGACAATAATCGGAAATTGTCTCCTAATCAACTTGAATGGCCAAGGTGAATCAGAAGGTGACATAGACATTCGTGGAATGTAAAAAATGTTATCTATGTTCTTTCCAGACATGATTTTTGCCTCAATGACATGATTTGCAAATCTTGTAACAATTAATCTTGTTCCGTTGCACAACCCATCGGCTTGGTCCAAATTTCTCATTAGCATAATAGGTGTACCAACCTTCAATTTGATCCTATGATTGGGAAGCCCTGACGTTCTTAATTTACTGAGAAATTCAGGAGTTAGAACTTCATATGCTTCAGTATAACTTGAATCTGTTCTATCAATGGAATCAAAACTCAAATACTCTTTCTCTTCTCCTAAAAAAAAGTTTAAAAGCAAAACATAAATAAATTAGTAAAACTATGTTCTTATATATATATATATATATATATATATATATATATATATATATATATATATATATATATATATATATATATATATATATATATATATATATATATATATATATATATATATATATATATATATATATATATATATTATGAATATAATAATACAGTAAATATAAAACACATGTACCTGGTATCAAGTCTAATACATAATGATTGATTTTGTCCACAACTTCAATGGTTGAAGCAAGAATAGCCTTTCCTTGTAAGAATTCAACATCTTGATATTTTTCCAACAAATTGGGATATGTGTTTTCAACAATTGCTCTTATAGGATCATCAAAATTTGATATTAATAGCTCTTGAGGAATTTCAATATCAACCAAACCATCATTGGGTTCACAAATCTTACCATCACCCACATTTAAAATCCATTTTGAAAATTCTGCTAGTTCATTAGAACTTGTGTTGTCTCTTCCCTCTTGAAGTCTCATATTTTTTGATAGTGTTAAAACCTGGCAATAATCCCATACATAAGATGAACTAGTTGATGCATGAACAATATCAGAACGCCCAGCTCTTGGAACAACAGGAAGAATCTGTCTAAAATCTCCTCCAAATACAACAACTTTTCCACCAAAAATAGTATTCTCAACACCCTTTTTGCTCATTACATCTTTAAGGGTTTTATCCAATGCTTCGAAGCAGTTCTTGTGAGACATAAGTGCCTCATCCCATATTATCACATCCGTTGCTTCAAATAATTGAGAATGTTCGGTGTCTTTGTCGATGTTGCAAGTTGAGTTGTCAAGCGTTGGCACAGGTATTTTGAACTTTGAGTGTGCTGTTCTTCCACCCGGCAATAATAACGAAGCTATCCCACTTGAAGCAACAGTAAGAACAATTTTTTTTTGAGAACGAAGTGCACTTGATAGTGTTCTCCACATGAAAGTTTTACCAGTCCCTCCGTAACCATGCAAGAAAAATACCCCTCCACTCTGTTTGTTAACAGCATCCATGATTTTCTCAAATATCAAACGTTGTTCATCTATAAAATACATACCAAGAATTATAAGTGCAAGGACAATAAAAATCATTTTTGTAATTCATAGTATAAAGAAAATAAATCACCTGTAAGGGCATGAAAAAGTTCTTGGAATTTCTGTTTCTCGGTATCGGCATCGTAATTAAGTTCGTCATAAATAAGCCTATTGCCAACATGTTTTGTGATGTATGAATCTGGATACGGCATACATTTAAATTCATGCAAACTTCTTCGATTCGATTGCATCATGTTCTCAATCTCAATTAGTGTGAGATTCTTTAACTCATTGTCCGATAGCTGCAATTCTGTTAAAAAAATTTCATTAGTTTTTTATATAATTACATATGTATGATGCAACTGTTGTCGTGATGTTGAAATACATTGAACATAAATCAAACAGTTGATGTTGCGGCTGCGTGAAATTAAATGGAACCAAAGATACTGTTGCAGCTGCAAGTTAAGAAAATAACTTACATACATGACAAATGACAAATATGAAAATGTTTCTTACGTAAATGGACATACCTTATGAAACATATTAAATAAGGGACATATGGATGAAGAATAATTATATTTTAAAGTAAGTTCATATCATTATATTTTGTAATAAAAAAAGATACAGCTTGCATTCGAAAAATAATATTTGTTGACTTAAAAAAGTTTAATAAAGTGTCCATACCTCTTCTATTTGTTTTTTGCCTTTGTTGGTAGAGGATACCATCAGATAACGTCCTCCAAGTTTTTTCCCAAACATGTCGTGGTCTATTGACAGTACCGGATAGTAACATAGTGACAAATAACTTTCGTAAAAAATGCCCGGAACCCCAATTCTTTGCTTCGTCGATGGCTGCAACATATTCCTTGTCATCGTTAAGAAAGCCCATTTCGGAGCATGCATCCCTAATAGAATCCTGAACTTTTCCACCCACAAATTTTATATCCTCATAGCAAGTTGGACCTTTGACGACTGTTAGCATCATTCTCAAGAAATATAACTCACCCGTACTTGAAGGGACCCAAATAAGTCTGCCAATTGTATTTCCTCTTTTACGCGGTCTCCATCGACAATATCTTTTATCATAAACAAATTTGGAAAGAAATTGTGAGTACGTCAAATTCTTTGCCTCTAGGTATGCTTTGTTTGCTTCCATCCATGTCAAACATAGATTCTTTCACAGTTGGTTTGTCAAGCACCTCATCTATCAATTCATAATCGGTATAATAAACATAGTTGTATCCTTCAAGATGAAAGAACAACCTTTCAACTGCGGGTGATCTACCATGAATAGGAAATGAAAAAAGTCTCCAACATGCCTCACTTGGTGAGATATATCTGCAATCAAGATATTGCTTGATTTCGTCAACCATTCTGACCGAGGGAGATCCATCACCGTCAGTTTGGACAACAGCAGCAGTAATTCTATCATACCCCTTGTTAATATACTTAAATAAGTATTTAACTGAAGTACTTTGATTACATCACTCCATATTGATGTGTGCTTGGAATTTCTTCAACAAATATGGATTGTAAGGAACTACATACCTGTTATCAAGTTGAACGTGTTTTTTCAGCACTGTATTACCAGTTTCTCTTCTACGGTACACGGGATATCCATCCTGATCAACAATGGTTTCGGTTTGATATTTCTTTGGAAAGTATTTTGAGCACTTTCCATTTTTCATGCAAGTTGAATTCGCATTTGCTAAACCACATGGGCCATGAATCATATGTGTCTTGACCAAATGGTAGAGTTGCCTATCATCTTTTTCCGTTGGTATCTCTGCTGAAATGATCTTGTTTATATCATCTGGAGTCGGATACTTGCTTGAAGGATGCAAGAATAATAGTATATGAGCGTGTGGTAAACCCCGCTTTTGGAATTCAATGGTGTATATATCTGAAATTAAGTAAGTTTAAACTTAGTAAAACGATGCATATTACATATTTAATAAGATTAATGTCAAAAAATATAACTCGACTGAAAGGGTATTAAATTGACTTACATGCAATCACTCTCCCTAACACGTGCTTTTTTGTTAGATCACACAACAACTCATCGAACTTAATTTTGAAGACTCTTGAGATGATATCTGGACGGTCTTGAGAATTCAAGTTAATTTTGCTAAGCAACCTTTGGATTTCAGGTCAGTTGGGATTGCAAGTAAATGTGATAAAAAGATCTGGAAATCCAACTTGGCTACAAATTGCCATTCCATCAAAATAGAGTTGTTCCATAAACCTCCGACTTCCAACATAAGTTGAAGGTAAAACCACTCTTTTACCTTTGTTTGATCCTTGAGTGTTTGCATTCTGTTCAGATGAGCTCAAATTGCAATATTTAGAAACACGCAGCTTTTTCTGATGTTTTCGAATATAATTCAATCTTTGTGACTCCATCATAGTAAATCCATCAACCAAAAATTGTTGAAACAACCTTCTTGACCGCAATATAGTT